CTTAACATATCAACTGTACTCTATTATAGTGACTGCCCGGTCAACGCAGTTGACCGGACTTCAATACTACACTAGTTTATACAAGAAAGAAGTCGCCTATACTTCGAACATTGAATGGAAAAAAAATGTACTGCATTTTGACATTTTCAGTTATCTTTCTAGGAGGTATTAAGTTTGTTGCTGCTATTATTCAGGACCCTTACCAAATTAAAAGAGCATCGTTGAGTAAAATTTTCTTTTTTGTAGTATATGCTTAATTGGAGACAACGTGAGTGGTCTCTTTCAGTGGTATTGTAGTTCAAAGACTATACGCAGACAATTTGGTACAAATACCCCAAGGTTCACTGATTCCATTCGTCTGTCTCAGCTTCCGGCGATAGTTTTGATGGAGCACTCTGTTTGACTCTTGTACGGACGGCAATACTTCTGTGTGTAATTTTAACTTTCCATCCGCTTGAGCTATAAGTTTTGGATGCCAAGTTTACTTGCGTTGTTAGTCTGAAAAAATTTATTATGGTAATACATACAGCTCATACAGAAAAATATAAAGAACACAAAAACAATATAAATAACAACTGTAATAATAGTAATAAAAATCAAAGAATTGGTGGTAGTAGTTAACACAGTATTAAACGTTTCAGCTTATGTTCAAGAAAGCGGATGAACGACATGAGCAAGTCACTGTACTTGCGGGGGGCAAATAGAGGAAGTAATACATAAACTGATGGATACGTTTGGAGAATTGTAAAGAAGAGAGTCATTCCTTATTTAATGAAGAACAGGTAAATAGGTTTTTCATTTGTGACACTTGCGTGACATAAACTACTCGCTTTAGCCTATCCCTATTTAATTGGAAGGGAGTACACAGTCAAAGTCGATATAACGGACTCTCGATATAACGGACACTAAGTAAAATCTCAATATACCGGATTGACGTTGAGAACGGGTTATAGTATTTTATCCGCTATACCGAATTTCTTCGTTATAACGGATTTTTGAAAATTTTTATTAATGGAACCGACTAGTCCGTTATATCGACTTTCACTGTGTAAACCCTTGAACAACCCATGAATTACAAGTTTATTCAAAGAGTGTTTGAGTCATATAAACCATAAGCGATGGATGATGCTAATATTATAGATTGACTTCATTTATATAAACAGAACCAATTGTTGTCTTCGTAACCGTCATTACGGTGAGAGCATACTAAAATATTTACTCATTTACTCTCCTTCTCGAGACATGGTAAGGGTTTTACACCATTATGATAGATAGTATTCCATATCTTGCTGTCAGAATTATCGTTTTCCATCTTTTCAGTAATCGCGCAAATAATATTCCAAATTCTCTGTGCATCTGGACGCTTATCAGGATCAGTATCACAACACTGCTCGGCAAGTTTCTTGTATTCCTCTGGTGCGGAATCAGGCATCGATGGCTGTAGTCCGCCCATAATGTCGCATAATAAATCTCTATCGAACTGCCTACCTCTGAAAGGTGGTTCACCAGTTGCAATCAAATACATAATGATACCAAAAGAATATACATCTGATTTCGTCGTAAATTTGCGAGTATGGAAGACTTCCGGTGCAATAAAAGATAAAACGCCTTGAATGTTTGAATTTGACTCACGTGAATTCACTGATCGTGAGAGACCAAGATCGCATATGAATGATCGACTACCACTCAAAATTATGTTTCCACCATGAAGATCACAATGCACTAAATCCGCGTCATGAATACCGATCAGAAATAATGCAATATCCCTCAAATGCTTTAATTTCCTCCTCCATGTCAATTTGTTAATATTTTGATCCAAATAAGACAATAGACCACCATTGTTGGCATATTCCATAATAATCATGTACTCTCCTGTTTCTGGTAGTTGTGTGACTCCATAAATGTTGAGAAAATGATGACTGCTCTTTAGGCACTTGGCATGATTTCTGAACTGTTAAATAAATAAATACAGAGTCAGATTAAATATATTTTAATTAATTAATAACATCAACGATGCTTACCTCGGAAATAAATAATTCCGGCATTCCATCAAAATTCTTAAACCGTTTGAGTGCAACGGTTTGTGGCATGAGCTCTTCTAAATACTTTCCATATTTAGCAGTATAAACTGTTCTATAACTACCAGATCCGATCTCATTGAGTTCGTAAAAGTCACTGTACTGCCTGTACTTGATGATTCCGTGATGTTGTATAAATTTGTCCAATATTGTATGTATTTCATGGTAGAAGACTAAATAATATTCCCGAGTAGATGGCTCCTGAGTGATACCAATTATCCAAATATTATCTGGTGTCAATATCTCTGGGTATTCCTTCGTTAGCTATTTGAGTAAACAAATACAGTTGTTAACAACACTGATTCAAACGCACACATGCTAATAATACTATTTACATCGTTTATGCACAAGATAATTTACCTGATAAAAATCAAACAACTGATCATTTTGTTTGTCAACAATCTTTTTGAGTGTCACATGTGTCAATTCATTTGTTGTCAATTCTAACCATTCTGCAATATGTGTGCATCCATGGTGTAATAGTGTCATCTCCTGTATGTTTGTCAATAGAGAATACTCTATCCAATGTATATAGGCATCATATCTCCTTGTCATATTACTCCATGATTTCATAATAAATGAATCCAAAGACTTGTTGCCAGTAGTCCAATGTAGTGGTCTTGGTGCTTTACATTCATAACAGAATGCCTTTATCTTGGGTTCATATTCAAATGCTTGTGTGCACGCCAGACATAATCCATTTGTATAATCAGCTTTTATTAGACAATACTTTTGTTCGTTTGTATTGTACGTGAATCCAATAGTTATCCAAACATCCATGGTAAGAATGTCTGGATGCCCATCACATAACTAATGGAAACAATACATAATAATAAGTCAATATTTATTTAAACGCTTCAATAAACATGACGCATAAGTAAATAGTTTACCTCGGCATGGTATAAATCATGTGTCTCGTCTGTTATCTCAAGTGGTATCAATTTAACAAATGTCGCAGTTAGATCATATAAGTATGCCTGATCTCCCCTATCATCAATACAATCAAATGGAATCCATTCCAAATAGGCATGATTTGGTGAGTTTGTTTGTAATTGAGATTTCTTAATAAACTCATCGAGTTGCTTATTGTTGCTAGTCCATCCATCGGCTAATTGTTTATGCCCGCAAATGCACCACACGGGACTACATCGGAGTATTTCACATGCAGAGCAGAATCCATGTCGGAAATAACAGTGGTAAAACTTTCTATCAGCAACCATGTAATAATTATCATCATACTTGGTAAATCCGATTATAAGGTCGTTGCGTATGTCAAGCCATTTTGCATATCGTCTAAATCGACTGACATCATTATTGTACTTGTGTGTTGGAAGTGAGTATATTCTAGTAAACTCACTCACAAGTGTTGGTGCACATTCGCTACTTCCAAGGAAAACCAGTATTATCGTGCCACGCATGTAAACAGCATAATATACGTTGTCAATTTGAGTTGGCTTTATGCCGGTAATTTGCGAGCGAGGAATCCATTCAAGTTCACGTTCACTTTCCAAGGGGTCGCCAATTTCTGGATTATTAACAGCCCACGACATGGTTGAATAAAAAATTTTTCGTAAAGTGGGCAAATATCGTTTTTCAAACACTTGTGTTACACGTACGGTTGCACATCCGATGTTACGGGTTTGGGATATTTACGCCGCGGTTTTTAGGAACCCCAAACAGGATTACATATGACACTTTCGCACTTTTAATTAAATTTTCCTGAGCTAATACTCTAAATACCTTTTTTTCTCTTCTCATTCTTATCAAAACAAAGCAGTACGAAAATCTATTATGCTACAATGTAATGACTAATACATTAGTTGAAAGCGAGTAAGATGCTAAATAAAGAAAGTTCGTTCGCTCACCGTCATTTTTAAAACGTCATCGTAACCAATTTACTAAATTACTTTTGAAATAGAATTCCAATTCCCCCTGTCAAATATCCTCTATGCTTCAATGTGCCAATTTTTAATATTATATCGCACGGTTGAAACTGGAGCACTATTAGAAGTCTTTTTTTTTTTTTAAAAAAAAAAAAAAAAAAGCGCATCAATTGTCAGTGAGATATACGTCATTGGTTAAGCCACTAATGAGCGCTAGTATATTACTGGCATTAAGTGCGACACTAATAAACAAGGAAATGGAAGACTCGAAGCAAGAGTTTGTAGAGACAAAGAAACGTTTGACGACGCAAAGACCCGGTTGATGGATGCATTGACGGATGCCAAAAGTGATATTGACAAGGGAAAATTAATAAGTGGGAGAAAGCCTTTGTCGCCTGATCACTCAGACAGTGACTTAGGGGCAGAGTATGTGTATATTGGGTAGAGTAGACTTCTATTTATTTTTCATTCACCCTACAGATCAAACCATTCAAATGTTACGTTTCTCATAAGTCTGCAACAACTATACCCCCTGCTCAAACTTCGTTACGAGCCGAGCCATGGCGTAATCAAATTTCCAGCCTAAATGCGACTATATTCCCCGTCCAAGCCATACAATACATCAGATGAAACTAACAGACGAAGAATTAAAGCCAAGAAAATGTTGTAATAATGTATTTGTTAATTATCTCCTCCTTTATCTGTTCATATATGGGAGTATGACATGGTGTAAATATATATTTTTATCATGTGTGCCCCTTCTCAACGAATGTAATTAGGATAATTTTTGCTTTTTTGAAAAAAGGTAATGTGTACCATGAACGTAATTTGAAATACTGTAATAAGCCATGATACCCGCGACAATTAGGTAATAGAAATCGAACATGTGGATTTCAGCATTACAATATAACTTTATCACACTGTATAAAATTAAACGTATTTGCAAGTGACACTTCTTAACAGCCACAAGGCTATAAAATTCTAAATCTAATTTCATTTCAAAGATCGGACATGAACTTAAACATTATTATAAAGTAAATGTAGGTAGACAGTTTGCCAGAGAAAGGAAGGCAACAATCAAGTACAGATATAAATTATATGGCCGAAAAAAAGCACTCGATTTATAGATTTTATTGAGAGGCGAGTAACAAGTTTGCTTAGCACCATGCATTTGTCGCACTCGCAAATACAGGAGGGCTATCTACTGTGCATGTGGTATAATGAGATAGTTTTCTTCTATTCCACTGTCTGTGAAAATCAAAGCAATAGTCTTCAGTAAAAGTGGAACTAAAGCGATCTCTTTATATACTAATCATCCGAGACCTGTATAAAATGTTGCGATAATATTGTAAAACAATATCGTCAGGATTTCCGTGGGCGTCACATAATGAAATCGCTATGAGGTCAATGTATTGTGAGGATGTGTCCACGTGATTTCAGGGGTAAAAATACGAGTTTAGCAAAATCTCGTGATACTAATCGAAATTTAGCAACTTGTTGATAA